GTGTGTGTGTCTTGCAGACAGAGAGGGAATGACAAACATAAAGGCTAGTGAGTTGTGAACATGCAGCACAAAAAACATGAGAAATGATGAGAAGTAGTCAGGGAACCAAGCTGTGTGTGCGTCATCAGGCGTTTTAAAAGGTGAACGCAGTTAGACGTCATATTGTAGCTAACCTGCATGTTAGCTGCTTAAAAAACACCTGATGACACAAACACGTTTTGTCACTTTTTAGCACCAGTTGGCCACAGATCAGCCAAACAGCATGAGCACAACTCCCAGATATAAACACACCCAATGGGCTGTACTTTTCAAAAAGCAATAGTGAAGAAAAACAACATACTTTCACTGTGTATTCATACAAAGCTTCTATATACAGCATAGTTGTGTATGTATATGTGTTTTTTGTCATGTCTTCCTCTCGTCATCGCCAACTGGTCACGGCAGACGGCTGCCCCTCCCTCAGCCAGATTCTGTTGGAGGGTCTTCCTGTTAAAAGGGAATTTTTCCTTCCCACTGTCACCAATTTCTTGCTCAAATGGTTGGGATTTACCTCACAACATAAAGCGCCTTGGACCAACAGCTCTTTTTATTTGGCGCTATATAAATAAAGTTGAACTGAATTAAATGTACGTACAGAACAGAACGAGTGTTTTCTCATGACAGCCTGACTCCTTTAAATGCATCTTTCATGAAGCTATTCACTGGCCACATTACATTATAATAATACTTACTGTAAACCTGGCCAAACACACAGGCACACACTGGTATCAGCCCTAAATGTGCAAACCTACTGTACACACTCATGATCATTAGTCTACATTGTTGCATCCCTGGCCTGTTTACTGTACACACATTAATCTCATTCAGTTACACAAAGGTGCTGAGATAGTAGGATTTGGTAAGCGTCGAGTTACCAAATCAAGATGCCCAACTTGTTGCTGTGGGTTATTTAAACTCTCAGCTGGGAGCAACAGAACGATACTGAATGGGTGATAATGAACATGTTAAATTGCATACTATATAAAATGAATACCAATCGTTGCATTTTATCTGGATTTTAAGGCTCTCTCTGAGAACAGTTCAGCAGTTAATGTGACTATAAAGCGCGATAAGCGTAATGCAGCCAGTGTCACAGACACGACAGTGGAGTGAATATTTGATGACATCTAGCTGCTTCCTCTACAAAGGTTGAACACACTCATTGTAAATCACTTTAGAAAACCGTGTCTGACAAACGGATGGAAAGCAAAAACAAAACAGGTTTGAAAATTGTCACTACAAAGGTCGACCTACGCTTTGCACAGAGGTTTGTTCGGATACGGTTGCGCATCTGTTTGTTTTGAACTGTCCTGTTTTCTTCTACACTTTCACATTTCAAACCAGCCTCTGGACATGAGTCGAATAAAGCAGCCAATTTTCCCAACACGGAGGTCTGCACAATGCATGGTTGACATTTGGGAGTTGTGTGTGTGTGTGTGTGTGTCAACTCGTCTGCAGGCCTCCTCCAGCCTGCATTTAACCACAACACTCTTCTCTAAGACGGCTCGTGGAGATTTTTCTTGTATATTTAAGGGAAACAAAATCTCAGCTTGCAGAGGTGAGGTAAACTCTGGTCACTTGGGGACAGCTATGCAGGAATAAAAGTCAATCCAAAGGAAAGCATCCAGTGTAAGGCCTTTAATAAGTCAGTAACAACCTTCAGCCTTGATTACTCACAGGCCCATTAGCTGTTAAAATACTGTTATATGTCACAATTGCAGCTACTCAGATCCAGTTTCAGTAAAAAAAAATGTATCTGAACAAACAGAGTTCATGACTTGTGCTTTTTTGTATACTTGGTACCTTTGTGTGTGTGTCTGTGTGATATCCCCTTTAGAACAGCTCCCACTCCTGTGCTATGCATGGTCATTTGGGTTGAGGAACCATGCTCTGCTTGTAGGTGGTGCTGTCAGCTAACACGTCTGCTAAACCTGTCTGCCTTAGCTGCTAGAGCTAAGGAGGAAATGTTCATCTTCTAAAAAATGTAATTTAACAGTACAAAAAACAACAGTTTTAATGAAATAACAGCTGCATCTGATGTGATTATTGATTGTTTGGATTGTGATAGACTGTGTGGAATAGGAAATTGTGCTAATACTGACATGACAGCATCATACAGGTATTGCAGGTTGCATATCCATGAGGTTCCACCACACCCCAAAAGTGCTCTGTTGGATTGAGATCTGATGGCTGTGGAGCTCATTTAAGTACACTGAAGTCACTGTAGTGTTCAAGAAACCAGTATGAGATTAAGTGCATTGTGACATGATGCTCAGCTGGTACTGTGGCAAGAAACCCAAAATTACACCACCACCAGATGCAAGACAAGATGGATTCATACTTTTATCTTGTTTGCACCAAATTCTGACCCTTCATCTTTCATCCCTATTCTAATGCTCAGATTGAACTTCAGCAGGTCGTCTTGACCGTGTCTACATGCCTAAATGCGCTGATTTACCGCCACACGATTGGCTTAGATATCTGCACAAATGAGCAGTTAACCTCTTAAGCACCCACACACCCAAAGATGGGAGCAAAAGGGAGGAGATTGCGGAGATCAGAAAACTGCTGGAGGCTTAACAGCTTAAAGCAGTGTGTCTAATAAAGTGGCCAGTAAGTTTATTTATTAAAACATGAAGATTCCTCCACCAATTTGAATTAGCAGAGTCAGTACTTCATGACTCCTCATACAATATAAATGTGGGTAAAGTCACCAGAAGGTGACAAACTCATTGTGAAGAAATCCACAGGGGAGAAGATGACAGACAGCAGCAGGAAGGTAATCCTATAATTAATTAATTATGTAACAGGTAATCGATATTTGTAAGCAGTGTAGCTTCCAGCAACACTGATCTACTCTTTAAGGATTTACACTCTAGGACGTACTCTAGAGTTTCACTTTTTTCATATCTGTGACCAACACTCAGGGCTGATCAGCATTACAGGTCACAAAGCTAATGGCCACCCTTCATGTGTGTACACAAAACTAAGCGCACAAGAAACAGGCAGAGCATTTGACCACATGTAATTGTGGGTGAGCACGGATGTATCTGTGTGTGTTATTTCTTCTAGGTCAGTGTGAAGACAACCACAGAGAGCACGCTCTGTTCCGTCGGTCACGGTCCAGTGCAATCAGTAGTCGACACTGCTTCTGCACGCACCCATTGTGTGCTTGAGCAGAGTTTGTGTGAGAGGGAGAACAAAAAAGATAATAAACAACGTGTTGTTTGATCAGTCAGTGAGTTAATTTGCATATGTATGTCGCTACTTACGGCTCCATTTTAATCCCTCCCCATTCCTGTTTCTATCCCTCCCTACATTTACATAGTAAAGAAACATGATAAGGAGACGTTTACGCCACGGCTTTTTGGCAGAGCTGCTCTAACACACAAATGCCCATCAGACCTTGGACATTTTCCCTTTTTCTGTGATCAAAGCACATCATAATGACCCGTAAGGATGCCAAACTGTTGCATATTATTGCAAAAAAAAACACATACATGCATGTAGACACACACACACAGTTCCAGAGTCATCCACATGTACAGTAAATGCTGGATATTACCATCATTGAGTGTTGTACTAATCAGTCTTTAAGTGTTCCCTCTTCCCTATTTTTTCATAGATCTATTAAAGATCAGGGCCAGTAAGAGCTGCAGCTGAGAGTTGAAGCTGGCTCTCACTGGTCCTCTCCAATATACACCAACTTCAGTTTTTTTCAGCTATGCTATTGAATATTGTTATTTTGCGAGGTTATGCCTGGCCATTGAACAAAAAAGAAAAGAAAAGCAGACAATCGCTGCTCTTCTGCATCGATTTCACCACAACATCTATTTCTCGCAGGAATGGGAGCACGAGAGCTGAGTGTTTGCAATTTGGAGAAACCTATTCCCGCAACCAACCGTAGCCTGATGAAAACACAGGAGTGCTCTTGCTCCGTGGAGTACACACAGATCTTGTAACCATATGAGAGCAGATTAGAAGCAAAGACTGTTATGTATTGTATACCTAATGGTCATCTATTCAGCTATTATACTTATCTCTGTCCAAGTGGAACAAGATGTTACCGCTGCGATGACGAAGCATCCCAGCGGTAACATCTGATAAAGCTTTATTCTTCATTAGTCCCCCAACAGACCACAAACAAGACAAGACTATACAGTGCCGCTGCCTTCATTTTCACCATTTCAGGCCATTTTGACTGTCAAGAAAAAAAAATCCCCATTACATCCATGTCTTTGATCCCTAAAATCTACTCAGGGATAAAAGGAACAAGGACTGTGAAGTTTAAGGTATTTTTTTTTAAATAAAAACACTGAACCTAGTGCCGGTACCAAAGGGAATCAAGCATAGGCTGTATATAAACAATGGACAACGCCACTGACATTTGTGGACTTACATTTTGATGATTTGAGTTGACCTCATCACCATCACAACTCCCATGATCATCATTGGGAGACACAATAATCGATAGACAGCCACACCATGATGCATGTATTCTGTATACCCAGGGGTAAACATACAGAATACACGCATCATTGCTATTCTGTATTTTACTGTTAAGCCCAACAACCTCAACAGCCTCCAGTTCAATCTCGGGCTCAGCCCTGACTGCTACTCTAAGCTGGTCAGTTGTAAGCAATATCAAATTTTGATTTTGACTCACATCTCAAAGCTTATCCAGTCCACATTCTTACATCTAAGATCCGCCTTCAGCTGGTCTGCTTTTCACTTCTCTTTATGCTTCTCTTCACTGGGTTCCATTAAAGCTCAGAATCTGTGTTAAAACTTTATCAATAACTATTAAAGTCCTACATGGCCATGCTCCTGCTGCTATATAGCAGGCCTACTGAGCCTGGCTTCTCTGATCATTCAATCGGGACCTCTTAACTGTTACACACTCCATTTTAAAACCAGAGGCGATCGCACTTTTTAGATTGCAACACCTAAAATTTTGGATCAGCCATCCTCAGCCCTGAATGCTGAAAACTGCTGAAAATTCATTTTTATAAATTGCCTTTTCCTTAATTTTTATATTTGGCTTTGGTTTGATTCTAATACGTGCATGGAAGTATGCATGTGGGACTAGAAGTATGACCTTATGTTTGACTGTATGCTGGGAACTGAAAACTTATCTTTAATGTGTGGTTTTATCCAAACATTGCAGCACTTTGTAATTGTGTGTTTTAAAAAGTGCTGTAAACATAAGTAATGTAGAATGAACATCACGCAGTATTCACTAAGACTTAAGTAAGTGAAGCTATAAACTCGTTAAGGAAGTGTTTACTGAGGTGCTAAATTACGACACGAGGAGTCGTCTTTAGTCTTGGACACGTTTGTTTTTGCAAAACAGATGAGTCACGGTTTGCTGGTTATTAGCAAAAAAACAACAACACAAGTTTAACACAATTGTGCATTAGAGCATATCAGGACCTGGAAGTTAATTCCATATTTTACACACAGTCTATGGAGTCAATGTGGCACTCCATTTATCCATCCATCTTCTTTGGTTTATTCAAGTCACAGTCATGGGGGTGCTGGAGCCGAGCCCAGCTGTCATAGGGTGAGAGGCAAAGTAGACCCTGGACATGTCTCCGGCCTGTCTCAAGTCTCAGCAACACACTTTGTGGCTCAAAGTCTTCAGCTTGTGTCTGATTTACTTCCCACTCATGTTAAACCATGGCCAAACTATCACAAACTACTCAGGTTCATAATCTTTTAGATTTTCAGCATGAAATTGCAAAGTCACAAACCAATGACCAAATACTCAGGATAGATACATATTTCACTCACAACAGAGCAAGAAGACTACTCTTGTGCTGATTTTGTCATTTTTAGAGTTGGGCAATGTCTACTGAACTCCTTCATGACAACATTTACAGTTCAATATCCTAAACAGGCATCAGGATGTAACGACAGACTACTTGCAATAAACGCACTATAGTATTTTTTAATTATTTTTATGCACCTAAACTAACAGATGTTTTTACTGAAGCACTGTGGCTAAATAAGCTTCTTTTATACTTGAGCAAATCAGGTACAAAGAGACATTCACAACAGTCATCCTATTCCTCGATTTGTTGTTTTATTCCCCAGTTTATTCGTAGCATGCACATTTTTCTGGTGCTTACAAATATCTCTAGGAAATATCTTCTCTGTCCAGAAAGAAGTTTGGAATAGGCGAGTGCTTAAACCCAGTTTTAAGGCACCAAAAAGCAACATTATGGTGACACTGATAATATACAAATACCTTAATATCATAAGTATTGGAGATTGTGGTATAATTTATTTAAAAGCTGATGTCCTGTCCCCAACTGGTACTTTTGTTTTACCCACATCTGTCTGTCCATCTGTTTACTTATTTTCTATTGTTGAGTAACTACAGAACAACAGATGCAATCAAATCCCAAACCGATGTACCATCGCGAGGGACAGTGCAATAGCAGATTCCCTAATAACACGCCATCCATCACAATCGCACTCAGTTCTAATAGCGGTTTTATTGTATTACAGCCTGTCACACAACTGAGACACGCAGACACAGCAGCAGGCTCATTCGCCACACTCCCAGCATCCTCGCATACACACAGACGAGCCATGGGCATCGCTCTCTCTGTCTCTCTCTAACTCACAACAACATATTTATTATATAATCAGCCAGATGATTCAGGCTATCAGAGGTGAAGGATGAAAAGAGGCTTTTTTCGTAGACAGCACAGCACACATCCTATCATGATGTAAGAAAAGACATTGTCTGGGTTTTTGGGAGTAACACACTAATGTGGAGAGGCTTGAATGTTGTTGTTGGGTTGTTTTTGTTCCTTCTGAACTTTGGAGACATCTCTGAGCAGTGAAATAAATGCATCAGGATATTTGAGCCTGCTGGTTTTAAATTACAGGTTTCATCTTCAGGAGACCTGATTTGGTCAGTAATTGACCTAATTGTATGACAAACAAGGCGTTTTTTAATGATTTAGAAGAATACTTTATCGTTTACACAAATTCACACACACTTTAAGTCCCTGATGTGACCAATATTCTGACAGCAGGAGGCAAAATGCACCTGAATCACCGCAACTTTCTTTAGAAACATGTTAAAGACAATTGATGAGGTCACAGTGAAGCTTTTTCACACTTGTTTGAAATCCTACCGTGGGTGAGGTCAGCCGCCTCAGGCTCTCCCCCAGCGAGTCGAGGTTCACCCTTCTCCTCCTGGTGACCCTCTTGTGGGGTCCGCCGGGTGCTTGCTCCTCACCCGCCGGGAACACGGTCCTCTCGGCGGGGCTGCGGCCGTTCCAGAGCACCGCTCTGTGGGAGGAGGGGAAGGAAGAGAAGGGGCACCCTCGGATCTCCTCCGCCGGCTCCAACCCGCCGTCCCCTCCGTCTCCCCCGGGGCTTTCGAGCCCACAGTCCGAGCCCACCGAGCTGCTGAACGACTCCGAGGAGATCTTGCGCGACGACGAGGACATGGTGGTGGTTGCGCTGCTGAGAAGAAGAGGAGGAGGAGGAGGATGGTGATGATGATAACAGTGGCGGTGTTAAGGATGAGGATGATGCTACAGTCGGCTCCGTACCACGTCCACCTGTACACCGGGGAGTCATCAGATAGTGGGGGGAGGGAGGGCTGGCTGGTTGAGAGGAAAGGCTTGTGTGTATATGTGTGATTATGCGCGCATGCTGTGTCGGTGTGCGGGTGAGATAATGTCCAGTCCTGCCCGTGTCTGTGTATGCATATGAGACGCGTCTGCCTGCGTGTGAGACGCGGGGAAAGAGAGAGAGAGGAGAGGGTGAGGTCGACTGAGAGCGAGAGCACTAACGGCACGCAAGCATTTATGAAGGGGGAGGGTATCACCTCTTTAAAACCGTCCTCCGTTACCCCCCTAAAAAACGTCCTCCTCGCCGCTCCCCCGGGTGGCCAAACACTCCAGCGGATGCTTCCGATTAAAAATGAGGAGCGGAAGAATTCATCACGCCCGGCAACAGTGTTTATTTTTAATAAAAGACGCAACTATTTTGAAGGACATGTCCCCCTAATTGCCGAAACTGCAGAGCATAACGCGCTGGTCCACCGATGATCCAAACACATGGTAATTATTCCTCTTGCACGCTGGAGAATTTAACAGCATCAGAAAAAAAATGTAACGTATCTTCCTTTTTTTTTCTCCTCACGCTGCCCAGAAATCCCCAAAGTCACCGCAGATGTGAGATGCGTCTGCTTCCCTCTCTCTCCTCCTCCTCCTCCTGCTCTTAGTCCTCTGCGACAGCGGTTCTCTTGTCGGTCCTCCAGCTGCTAACCGCAGTCCGGGCATTCCTCCATCTTTTTATTTCCGCTCCTTCACGGCAGCTCCTCGGCCCTTTTTTGTTGCTTTAAGAAGTGGCCGGGGTAGAGGTGAGCTAGAAAGGTAAAAGCGCGCGCGAGAGTGAGCGCGAAAGGTGAGCCAGCAGTAGCAGCACGCGCCAGTGGTGCTTCTAATCTGCGAAGCACGCGCTGTGAAGTACGCGTCAACGCGCTACTCTGCGCTGGAAAACAAACCAGAGCCAATCGATAGACAGACGGAGTTGGGCAATGTCATAGTCTGTGTACTTTAGTTTATTTTTGTATTACATTTTTTATTTTGTATTTATTATTACTTTTATTTATTGTTTATTATTATGTCTTTCGTATTAGGAATTAGAGCCATTTTCATACATAACCCCCCCCCCCCCACACACACACACACACACAGACACACACACACGCACACAGACACACACAGACGCACACATACACACACACACACACACAGACACACACACTCACGCAGACATTGGACAAAAGTAATTGGACAATGACAAACTGACATAACTGAAGAGCAGTTAACTAGTCAGTAGGTTGCTGGTTCGCTTCCTGACTGCTCAAGCCTTCATGGGATGTTAGATAGACGCACTGAAAGCAGTGCTTGTGTGAAGGAGTTATGTTGTATAAAGTGCTCGGGAAAAGCGTTAAATGAAAAGGCGCCAAGTGAGGGCTGTTCCCTAAAATAGCTAGCAAAAGTAGCTCCTAAGATTATAAAGGGACCTGGGCTTCCATTTCAGTGAGTGTGGGAAGCACATCTCCCATGAAGGATATACTACCAATGCTGAATGCACCGGATAGTCTTCATTAAACTTTAAATGTTTATTAATACAGAATCAGTATTGATCATTTTTGATTCCAACACTGCCATTTTCACTTTCAATAAAATAGATTAAAATCACTGTGGTTGTGTGTTTTCAGATCTTAAGTAAAAAGTGACGTTACCTTGGATGAAAGCAGATGTTTTCTCCAAAAACAAAAAGCAAAAAACATGCTCTCTGAAACAGTAATTAAAGACGAATCAACTATTCATTCATTTCAAATATGCTATTCATACATTCTCAATTGATCTGTAGTTCAAAATGTGTTGTAGACTCTACTGTGAATGTGTGTAATATGAACACCATGTAAAGTATTAAAGACAATTTTTGTTTAAAATCATGTTAGTTTGTCCATTTACTTTTGAGCAACCGGAAAAGGGGTGAAATATAAAAATGGCTGTAATTAGTACACAGTGAATGCAATACTTTTAAATTAAATGAATTAAAGATGGAAGTCTCCATACTGTCATTAACATGGTTTCATAATTGTGAAATCTTGGCAGACAACAGTCTGCTCCTCAATTAACTAACAGGAAATGGCACTCGAGCAGCATCAGATTGTAATCAAACAACAGCCGTGGTCAATAAGCCAGGTCCGTGGCAATGTGCCAGATATGTTCAGCTCGGGTTTACATGGACGAACATGGCTCTAAAGGGTGATAATGGAGCTCGCGGCGGTGGCACATGCTTGCTGTATCTGATCAGAGGACAGAATGACGATCAGTCTGGCGCTAACAACAGTCACGACCTTGACCTCTATTAGCAGATCATGTTCATTATTGGCCCCAATGGACCAATCAGAAAGACACTGAGTCAGACAGACATAGTGCATGTATATGCTCACACACCCTAACACAATTTCCTGAAGGTGCGCGCTAATTCATTTGACTTTCTGGAGCAGCGTGACCCCAATCCACTGCATATCATTTTATTTTTTCTCTTCTCTCTAACTCACACCCACACACTTTCTCTTGTGCATAGACAACCACACACTCACACACACACGAACGCCTTCTTTTTCTTTCCTTATCTGTCTGCATCAGTCTTCCATCCATCAGTCATAATGTGGGCATTTAATAAAGCCAACACTACAATAGAATAAATGATGTTCCAAAGGAGATAAGCCTACCAGCTGAGAGACTGCCTCGAGCTGGCTGCCAGCCATCTAAAGCTAAGTACAGACAGGGCAACAGATCACTGGCTGTGCTATCATGGAAGCAGAACAGATAGAAAGGGCAACTATTGAAACACTGTGGTAATCTCCTTCAATAGGCGCATGTAACACGGATGCCATTAGACAATAGAAATGTCATCATTGAAATAACGGATGAAGCAGTCCAACCTTGAGTGTTCTTGGCACAGCTCCTTGCTTTTCCTACAGAATTAAAAAAGGATTGATGGATGCACAGTACGTGTTCACAATGGTGGATGGACGGGCTGACAGATGAGGTCGGGCAGGAGTCTACGTGGAGTATGATGTGATCTGTGGTGAGAGTGGGGAGCAGGGGGAAGAGAGTCTGGAGAGGTGGAGGTATGCACTGGACAGAAGAGGAATGAAAGTCAGTAGAAGTAAAACAGATTACGTCTGTGAAGGTTCTCGGTCATCCAGGTCATCGTAGTCTAAGGAGCTTGGAAAGAAAAGCGTCTGGACTTCTTTAAGTTGCTTGAAGCCGTTTCACCTCTCATCCGAGAAGCTTCTTCAGTTCTGAGGTCAAATGGTGGGGAGTCCCAGATTTAAACCTAGTGGGAGTTTCCCTCCAAAGAGGGACAAAGGACCCCCGATGATCCTCTACCTAATCACATGAGCCAAGGTGTGAAAGCGGGTTTAGGTCCCAATCAGCCAGAGTTTCGGGTGAGCTCATTGTGAAACCTGGCTCCACCTTATCATGTGATTTCCTGAGGTCAGATGGCCCAGGATGTGAGTGGGCATTAAGGCGTCTGGGAAGGGAACTCAAAACTGGATAATAGATGGCAGACAGTTGGTGTCGTAAACCACCGCCTCTGTTCAAAGATGTTCGCTCACAGTGGACATAGATGGCTTCTTTCACTCCTCTTTCAAACCATCTGTCCTCTCTGTCCAAAATGTGAACATTGGCATCCTCAAAAGAGTGACCTTTATCCTTAAGATGCAGATGGACAGCTGAGTCTTGTCCTGTGGAGGTGGCTCTTCTATGTTGTGCCATGCGCTTGTGAAGTGGCTGTTTGGTCTCTCCAATGTAGAGGTCTGGGCATTCCTCGCTGCACTGTACAGCATACACCACGTAACGTGCAAAAGAGGGGTGACAGCACGCAGGGTGGAGTGGGTGGAGAAAAGTGAATTTATGAAAATGACTAAAAAGCATCTTGTGATGATTTTTCAGGCAACAGCCAACCCTGGAAAATAAATAGTTTTAACTCTTCATTTGGGCAAAGTTAGAAAATACATAAATCTGAGTGACAGGATCTTAAAAGATGAAAGGGAACACTTGCACCATGGCTCTTTCTACTCAGACCACACGTGTCTTCTGACCTGACCTCAATTACGATCCCTGGAAAGTTGCGCATCTGTATTTTGCATGACTGATGAAATCTATCTGCAGAAAAGACAGAGGCAGAACTGCCACAACGGCCCACTCAAAACCAGCTTTCCAGTAGTTCATTCCACAGTACTGCACACCAGCAGACTCAAAAGATAAAAACAATACCAGCCATACTGTCACACAATTTAACCAGTGCAGTACAACACACACAGAATGAGAAGTATTTAAATCCATACTTGTGAAATGGAGCAAAAACCCACATATAGACAAAGCCACACAGGAAACAGCATCACTGGAGTTTAAGCCAGTAAATGATGAAATGCGTATAGTTATGGAATGCACAAAGATTAGAAAGGTTCAGGCCCACGGCACACACCAGTGAGTCATGCCTTTAAGATCCTTTCGTTCTGCTGCGCGTGTGTCTGTGGCGAGCGCTGCTAAGCAGGCATGTCGGTTTCAATTTTGTGACGCAGAAGACATACACTCATGTTATTGTCTTATCTCTCTGTCAAATATCTACCTCCTGTCTATACTGAGGCAGAGTGGGTGGGGGCATAAATGAACCAAAAGCTACAGCAGATGCAACAGGATGGTGCCGGGGGTTTGCAGAATACCAGGAGTCAGGCCAGCTAAGGCAGGGATGGGAGAAGACAAATGGCTGATTTGGTCATAAATCTGCCAGAAGCCAATCTAATTGGCCATAACCATACATCACTCCACGACACTCTGACGCTATTAACCGTGAAACTGTGCCTCTCTGACACATGTACAATATAAACAACCTGCTTTACTGGTCATGAGGATGGTTTTTTTTTTAAGTACAACCAGGGTTAAAGAGTAGGAAATTGCATAAAGGAGTATGTCATAGATTTAGCCAAATTTCCACGAAAATGACCGGAATGTGACCCGACTTTTGATTTCACGTATTGAGTGATGGCTTTGTTTTTTGTTTTTTTGTCAGCTGCATCACATTCATGGCGGCAAGTGCAGCCTATTTATGCCAAAACTGTCACTCAGATGCACACAGAAAAAGAAAAAATAATAAACAACACACAGATTATTGATCGCTCATAAAAACAACAATAATAACACATAACACTGCCTTGTCAGGGAAATGAAATTTTGTCAGTGCTCATACTACAAGTAAGGGGCAATCTCCCTGGTCTCATAACACACCTGATTTCTCTTAATAAAAGAGCCGACCAGTGCCGTCTGAGGAGTATTTTAATAATGTCCCTTATTAAATAAAGAGGCCCTGTTCTGTGTACCCACAGGTTAAAAATGTAAGAAAAAAAAGAACAGGAGGAACTGCAGTGAGGTACCCAGTCACTCTGTTATGTTTTCTGACACAGGATCCTAATTTAGTGCTTTTCTTTAATAATCTGTGACCATATACACAAACTCTGCAAAATCGCATGTGTGTACACTTGCCTATGTGGTGATGACATGGAACCCTCTTTTAGAATTAAGTGACAGCTGGAAAGGATCATGAGACCACTGGGAAAGAAATTAAATCCCACGGCTGGAAAGGCAGAGAAGGGCAGCATTGGCAAGAGATGAGAATGGTGGGTATGGCATAGAGACAAGGGCTTTAATTTAGTATCCACTGTACAATTAAAGGGCCAGGTTTTTGTGATGTTAAATAATCAGACCACGTTGAATCATTTCAAAGCTTTGCCCACCTTTAATGTGACCTATAACATTTACAATTCAACTATAAAAAACAAACAAATCTGTGAGTAAAAACACAAAAATAAAAATGTAAGCTGGTTGCACAACTGTGCACACACATCAAAACAAATGCACATTTTGATTTAATCACAGCATTCAGTATTAGTCTGCATGGCACACCTTGACATGGCAGTATTTGTCC